ATGTTCTATTTCGCCTTTCCGCTACACCGTTTTGTTGAGGTGTTCCTGGCATAGTATACTGTGCACATATGTCATATCTTTCAAGGAACTTAACAAATGGACCGGGATTTCGTCCCGATTCATCATACCTTCCATAGTATTCACCACCTTTATCAGATCTTACTATTTTCACATTTCTGTCTAACTGCCTTTCAACTTCATTAATGAAAACCTCAAGTGCATTTGCAGCTTGAGATTTTTCCTTGAGCAGATAGACATAACCATAACGTGAAAAAATCGTCTATAAAGGTAATGAAATACTTTTCTCCATTAAAAGATGGAGCATCAAAAGGTCCACATATATCGGTGTGTATAATTTCAAGAAGCTTACTACTTCTTTTGGCTTCTTTCTTGTTATGTTTGGTTTGCTTTCCCTTAATGCAATCCACACACAACCCAAAATCGGTAAAATCTAGATCCGAAAGAATCTCATCTTTCACCAACCTTTGCATTCTTTCTTTGGATACATGACCCAAACGTTTATGCCACAAGAAAGCAGAGTTCTCATTCGCTACACCATGTTTAATTCCAATGTTTTGATGAACACACATTAGAGATGCAGAAAAATCAACATCAAGTTTCAGTTTATATAAACCATCCATAAAAATTCCAGAACCAATAACGGAATCATGTTTATCAAACAAACTGAAACATCCATGTCCAAACTTAAAGGAAAACCCAAGAACATCAAGTCTAGAAATGGACACTGAGTTTCTAGAAAATGAAGGTACATAGAGAGTTTGTAAAAGATTCAGGTGGTGCCCGGAATCTAAAACAATACGATAAGTCCCTATGCATTCAATTGGGGCCTTCATACGGTTCCCCATGAACAAAAGTTCTCATTTGGGTTTATGCTCTGGATTGTAAGAAATCCCTGCATCACATTAGAAACATGAGTTGTAGCACCAGAATCCAACCACTAAGTATTTGAAGGAACTTCAAACAAGGTTGATTCGAAACATACAAAAATATTAGAAATACCTTTTTTTTCAAACCAAGACTTGCATTTCAGGCAATCTTTCTGTATGTGACCTTCTTTCTTATAGAATTACCATTTATTTGCCTGATTTTCCTTCTTTTCATCATTAGTGACCTGTTAAACTTGTTGGATTTCGGTTTGAGAACATTATTCGCTCCATGGCCCACAAGGTTGACTGTATGAACTCTTTGTGCCTTAAGCCTCGTCTTCTCCTGAACAAGCTTATTGGGCAATTCATTAACATCCCACTTAACCTTAATAGTGTCATAGTTAATTTGAAAAGGTCCATATTCAGGAGGCAACGAGTTAAGCATAAATTGCACCAGATATGAGTCATCCACAGTCATGCCCAGGGACTTAAGCCTTGCTGCAAGATTAGTCATGTCAAGAACATGTTGCTGCATACTTCGCGACTCATCATACTTTTTGGTCGTGAGTTCAGCCATAAGTGTTCCTGCCAATGACTTATCCGCAAAACGGAAACGCTCTTCCACAAGCAAAAGGTATGCTTTCGCATCCACATTATCGGGAAGAGTTGACTTAATGTTGCTGGCAATCGTCATTCGCATAAAGCTCAAACATAATCTGTTAGACCTGTCCCAAGCCTTACAGTTTGATTTCTCAGTTTCACTGCTTTGACCAGTAATGTAAGCGAGTTTTATTCTTCAAGAAGAGCCAAGTCAATATCCAAAACACATAAATGGAAATTGACTTGCTCACGCCATTCAGAGAAATTCAAACCATTGAAACAACAACATGAGAAGGTTGCGAATGAAGAGAGACAATTGCACAATCTTATGCTCACTTAATTAATAAATTCAGAAAATACTTTCACGCTATGTTACCTGGACTCGCCACTTGCCGCCGGCGTACCCGTGTCGACACGATACGACACGGATACCGGTACGAAATCCGGCTCCGATCCGGTCAAAAGAGGCCGGATACGTTGACCACGGACTGCTGTCAGATTTGACGCTCGGTGGTCGAAAATGTGACGTGAGAAAGAGAAGGCTGACGGACATCTGAAGTTGGAAGGGCAAGAACAGATTTGAAGTTGGATCGGATTTGAAGGTGGATAGGCAAGAAGGGATCTGAAGGAGAAGACGAAGCGCCGGAGAAGACGATAAAAGGGAGGCTTTTGAAAGACTTTTTTTTCTCTCTCTTTACTTTTGTGACGAAAGACTTTTTTTTTTATCTCTTTACTTTTGTGACAGCTAATAGGTAGCTTTTGAAAGACTTTATTTTTTTTTCTTCTTTTCTTTTAATTGAATGTTGTTGTGTACATGTACCTGTGGGCCTTGTAATGTATGTACATAATAAATGAACTTTTTTTTAATTGAATGACTTTTAATTGAATGGCTAATTGAATGTGGCTTTTAATGTAAATTGGCTTTTGGGATAGTGTAATTTTAATTGAATGTTAATGAATGCAGCGGCTGTGTGTAATTTTAAATGGATAGTGATTAAGTTAATTAAGCCAAAATTCAAATGATTAATTATATTTTAACTAATCCAAAATTCAAATGATTAATTATGTACATTGTATATAGGCTTTTTATATTTTAATTAAGCCAAAATTCAAATAATTAATTATATTTTAACTAATCCAAAATTCAAATGATTAATTATGTACATTGTATATAGCGCTTTTTATATTTTAGTTAAGCCAAAATTCAAATGATTAATTATGTTTTAATTAATCCATAATTCAAATGATTAATTATGTACATTGTATATAGGCTTTTATATTTTAATTAAGTCAAAATTCAAAATGTGCATGAATGAGACCTAAAAAAATTAATTACCACTCATACTATTTATCTTATATAAATCATCTTCCAAATGAATAATTTTACATAGTAAACAAAAATTTGAATTTCAAAATGTCTTCATCAGACAAAGGAAAAAAAAAGTTGCCTTTAGACCTTTAAACCCACAAAAAAATGATTTTGATGATACTCCTTCATGGAATCACGTAAAAGTTATTAACTTGGCAAGTGGAGGAGGAGGAAATAGAGTATGGTCTTGTAACTATTGTCACAAGAAAGTTACAGGATCATATTCTAAAGTGAAGGCTCACTTACTAAGGCTTCCAGGAAGCGGTGTCACCATTTGCAACTCAATTTCAGATGACATTGCTGCTGTTATAAAGAAAGAACATGAAGATGCAGAAAGAAAAAAGGCTAATAAAGAAAAACGAGCTAGAAGGCAAGCTGACTATTTGAGTTTGCCACCTAGCACGGATCTTTTGCAGCAGAAAAAATAAAAAAAAAAAAAGAAAACCAGGTGCTCTATAAAATGCGTTCAATGTTGCTGACAGAGATACTGCTGATAAGTTATGCGCAAGGATGTTCTATGCATGTGCGTTGCCATTCAACCTTGTACGCAGCCCTCAATTCAGGAAATATTTATTGTTTTTAGCAAATAGCAAATTAACGGGCTATATACCTCCAAGTTATGATAGACTACGCACTACTCTTCTTGCACAAGAGAAGGCATATATTAATGTGAAAGTTCATCATATCAAAGAAAGTTGGAACAAGAAAGGATTATCTATTTGTTCCGACGGTTGGTCTGATATACAAAGAAATCCGTTAATTAATATTATGGCAACTTCTGAAAGTGGAGCATTGTTTCTTTCATCCACAAATGCAAGTGGAGAAGTGAAAGATGCTGAGTATGTAGCCAACATTTTTATTCGTGCAATCGAAGATGTTGGACCAAATAATGTCGTCCAGGTCATCACGGACAATGCAAGTAACTACAAGGCGGCTGGTGGAATAATTGAGCTTAAGTATCCTCATATCTTTTGGACACCTTGTGTGGTTCATAGCTTGAATCTAGCCTTGAAAAAGATGTGTGATCCTCCTGAAAACATAGGTGCGTATGTTCATTGTGCTTGGATTTCTAAGTTGATTGTTGATTGTCAAAGCATCAGAAATTTTATTATGAATCACGACATGGCACATGCAATTTTTAACAACTATTCATCTTTAAAGTTGTTAAAAATTGCTGAAACTCGATTTGCATATGGGATTATCATGGCTGACCGTTTGAGCAAGGTAAGGAAGGTTTGGAGAGCATGATCATGGATGAAAGGTGGAAAACATACAAAGGAGATGGAAAAAGTGTCGTTGATAGTAAAGCTCGTGAAGTGAAGCACTGCATTGTTGATGACCAGTGGTGGGATACGCTTGACTATCTATTGAATCTCACTAGACCTATCATAGATTTTATACGGGCTGCTGATACGGATTCTCCTATTCTTCATCTTGTATACGACATGTGGGATTCGATGATAGAGGAAATCAAAACTGTTGTTTTCAGGCACGAGGAGAAAGATTTGCTCGTTGGTCAATCTGCCTTTTTTGATGCCATTCACGAAATTCTGGAGGAGAGATGGAACAAAAGCAATACCCCGTTGCATTGCCTAGCACATTCCTTTGTGCCGAAATATTATACCGATTCCTGGCTTAAAGATGGAGATGGTGTCCAAAGGTTGGCACCACATGAGGATCAAGAAGTCTCAATGAATAGAGTGAAGTGTTTCAAGAGAATTTTCGAGGATCCAAATGATCTTAGAAAAGTGTGTATGGAATACGGGGAATTTTCCAGTGCAACTGGATTATTTAGTGATTCTTTCATTAAAGAGGCAAGGGTGTTCGAAGAACCAATCTCGTGGTGGGCTAACTACGGATCGAGAGCAAAGTTTTTGCAATCTTTGGCCTTCAAATTACTTTCGCAGCCAACATCGTCATCATGTTGTGAAAGAAATTGGAGTACATACTCGCAGATCCAAAATTTGAAGAGGAACAAGCTAACGAGTTCAAGAGCCGAGGACTTGGTTTATGTCCATACCAACATGAGACTCTTGTCAAGGAAAAAGAATTCATATAAGGAAGGACCTTCACGATATTGGGACATTTGTAAGTTACTTTTATTTGAGTATTCTAAATTATTTACTCATATAATATGTTTTCAATCTTATTAATATTTTATTATTTTATAGGTGGAGACAAATTTGATATTGATAGAGATATGAACCAGCTAGCCGATCTTTCCATCAATGAACCGGAATTAGAAACTATTACATTTGACAATTCTTTGGATATGGAGAAGGACGGAAATGATGAGTAGAAAATTGAGTTAAATGTTAATTTATTATTTGTTTTTTTCTATTTCAATGTTGCATGAGTTGAGTAATATATTTGTATTGGAATATTATTGCTTTTTTTTTATTATTTCAATATTGCATTAATAATATATTTGTATTAAATTATTATGAATCTAAATTTGTAATGATCTATATTAAAATATTTAATTTTATTACATTGACTGCCGTACCTGCGTACTCGTGTCCAAGTTTGGGTACGTGTCCCCGAATCTTAACTTGTAGAAATATAAATACCGGATACTTGAATATGTACCCGTGTCCGACACACGTACCCGAGTCCATGTAACATAGCTTTCATGACATATATTGCAGGTCTCCTTTGGGCAAACACAACAATATGTATCATAATCATAAGTCGAATGTCATTTAACACTTAATGAGAAATTAAATAAACTCCATCAGACATACATATTATCTTTGGATATCTACATACGCTCGATAAGAGAATATTATATCTCTCCTTAATGTTTATTAGTTATAGAACATTGATTCACCTTTGGGTAAATCCACAATTTCTAACAACCAATAAACTCATTATCTTGAATAATGACATCTTCCCTATATATTAATCCAGAACGCGCTGAGCCTACGTGGCTGCTTCTGGTGCTTCAGAATCCTATGTGGCAAAATTACATGCTTCGTTATTAGGCTTGGGTAAATTTTAATTTAATTCCAAACCAAAAATAATTAGGTTCAGATTACCATAATATATTGATTATTATGGTCATGTTACATGTATTAATTGTATTTTAATATCATTCCTTATTATAACTATTGAATTGTGTATATATTTTAAAAGTTAATAACTTTTGTATTTTTTGTCAGTTTTACATATGTAATTTATCAAATTAATCTTCTTTTGATGAGCTTCGATTTAACATCCATATTGTATGTATAAAAAAATAATATATATTTATCTTTATAACAATAATAAAATTATTTTTAATATTAATTAGAAAAATAAAATTATTTATAAACTAATATATTTATATTTCAAGTAGTTATAAGATATATGTTATAAGAACTAATATAATATAACACATGTAAGTCATAAGTAACAAATATCATTCTAAAATATATAGTAATATATTTTTTTTTTCTTAAAAAGTAAACTAAATTTAATACAGTTTTCTCATTAATTTTAAAATTTAAGAATAATTTTTTAACAAGCACCCGTGTAATACACGGGTGTTGTACTAGTTCTCAAGAAAACATAAGTTATATGACCAAACATTAGAAAATTAATTCGGTCACTTTGGTGACTAACAAATTAATTTTCACTTAATGTCATATAAGATACAGTTGTAACAATAATATTATATGACCGGGCATTAAAAAAATTAATTAGGCCACTTTGGTGACTCCCACGGACTCCAACAAGAAACGAGATTTGAATAAGGAATAGAGTAGACTAACAAATTAATTTTATCTTAATGTCATATAATAAACATTCATAACGATGAAATTACATGACCGAACATTAAAAATTAATTAGGCCACTTTGGTGACTAACAAATTAATTTTATCTTAATGTCATATAATAAATCATTCATACACATATATCACCATTCTCGACTATGCTATTATGCATCGGTCAAACAATTGAATCCATTAACATTACATCACATCCATAAAATAACTCAACTGATATGGCTCACCAAAATAATGGGGTACTATACCAATTAACATTCGCAGTGATGATAATAACATGTATATATGGCCATAAACAAACATTGAAGAGATATCATCAACCATAAAACATGTGTGGGCCATGATTCTGTTAGCAGAGGTTTAATCCAAAAAAAAAAAAATTGTGTAAATTGGACCCTGGACATTTATTTTCATAGCCTCATCATCATAAGGAGTATTGTTGGAGAAATTAAAGTCACATGATCAAACAATCAATATTTGCATAAATTAGTTTTCATTAACAAATTTTGAGCCCAGCAAATAATTCCAAGCAATTTGAATTCGTGAGCAGATATGCCAGATGCTTGCGGAAATCACAAAAATTATACACACGCGGACATATTCATCATAAGCCATAACTTGATGTGAACAATTTATGCATTCAGTAGAACGGCTAAAACATTCAGGGCGATCATACTCATGATTCACCAAATTAATTATTCACAACACATGTAATCTAAATTAGTGATCTTGAATAAATAATTTGGTTTATACGAAATACTTACTTGACGCGGAAGACGACATAATTAGTGATCTTGATCTTGATGATCACACAGACTTGATCGATTGTTAAATCTAAATTAGTTTCTCCCTCCTGACCGTTCCTTAACGTAGCAGAAAAGTGATGGGATAAAACTGCGTACCCAAATAGGAGGAGAAAAGACTAATTTATATACATGTGACTTTAGATCCGGTACGTCCATCAAATATCCAGATTAATGACCTAGATTTGTTTGACCATTGATTAAAGACTAGTACAGAGCCCGTGCGATGCACGTGGTGCACAGTTTTAAAGTTATTTATCCAGCCTTATAATTATATAAATGAATAAAAAAAATGTACTGCATATATATAGTACGGGACCTATGCGAGACACGGGATATATTTATTTGGGGAATATTATATTATAAGATGCAATATTTAATAAAAGTTTTATAATACGCAGGAAAATTATATAATAAAATAGTATTCGACAAAAAAACAATCATATATTATTAAAAACCCCCTTGTACATAGATATTAAATAATTTATTAGTAAAATAGTGTATAAAATTATTACAATAACAAAACAACATGCTCACGGGATTAGTAAAAATACTCCACGGAATGAAGATTTAATGGGATTAAACATTTAAATTAATTAATTTAGATAATTCTAAATTAGATAATTCAAAAGCCTTCCAACATTGTTTTGACTTTATATATTACAGCATGGGTATACTTTAAATATATTAATATTTAAGGAACTTTAAACAGTATAGTTTTTAAAAATTGTTTTAGGGAACTTTAAACAGCATATTTACGTCACCCATAAAACAAATTATATTTCAACAGCATAGTTATAGTATTATTTAAGGAACTTGAAACATCATTGTTAAATACTTACGTCCACCCATAAATTTTTTGTAAGTCGAAGGTAATTAATCTCGTGCCTTTTTTTTGTTTGTTTGTTCAATTTTTTTGACAAACTGATGTCATGGATAAAATAATTAAATATTAAATAAATTAATTAAATAATATTAAATAATATGCTATAGACAGATATAGAATGCGGATGATCCTCTCATGCCAAACAATGCGATTTCAAAATTGACTCAAATCCAGCAATCTATCCAATATTTCATTAAAATAAATATAAATAAAATGTTTTAAACAGAAATTAGATAAGGAATTTTGAATCTGCCTTTTTTTAGTATAGATAGACTTTACGTACAATTTTTTTACTTCACCGATTTTATATTTTGACTAAATCGATGTTATTATGGAATAAGACAAATAAGTAAAACCTTTTTTATTTTAGTAAAGATTTTACGGATTTTTTTTTTGACTTATCGGATGTTATGGGATTTTTTTTTCTTAAACCGATTTTATGGGATATAAGACAAATAAATAAAATAATTAAATAAAATTCTAGATAGAAATAGCAATGCATTAATTACGTTGACTTTTCAACATACTAAATTTGGTAAATATAATACCTTATTATATAAGTATAGACTAGGCGAATTAATTGTGAGCCCATCACCACATATTCTTACATAAAAGAGTAAATTGTACATTAGAATAGAAATAAGCCTTGGAAATAAACTAAAGTCAAGTCACCACATAAATTCTCCAATTTTTCCCTCAATGAATTTATATACTATTTTTCAAGAGAGTACGTCCGTGCTCTAAATCTTTGCCTTCATGTCTTGGGGCCAACACCACATGACCAATATTACAAGCTGTGGCCGGA